ATCAAAAATTAAATATATAATTTTTTCTTTATATTTTCCCTCCTGTTGGGCTATTAATTTCTTCAAAACTCCTATATAATTGCATTTTTTTCTGATCGATTTAGGAAATAATCATACAGAAATGTGCGCAGCAACGGGTTCCGGATCACAAAATCAATTTCGTAATTAAAACAATCATGAACTATTAATGAAAAACCAAAATAATTTCTGTTATAAAAAATATTCGCGAACAGATATATGATATAAATATTTGTATAATATAATAAGTTACTACTAAGTAAATTACTGCTTATTTCTTTCAATTTCGATTTTATTGCTTTTGTAATTTAAAATCATCCCTGCATTAAATAGTCCCTAGATGGTTAAATACAAACTGGGTAGTAAATTTAACAAAATGGGCAGTAGAATTAACAAAGTGTAAAGTACAATTTGGGCAGTAAAATTGACAACATAGGTAGTAAAATTGTACAAAATAAGCAGAGAAATTGTATAAGTTAGGCAGTCAAATTATACGAAATATGCGGTAAAATTGTACAAACTTTGTACTACAAAGCATGGCGAAAAGTTTGAGTCTGACTTGAAATCCATCGCCGAATCGACATAGCGATGAGTCTGAAATCTTATTATCAGCTGGCGTTAGTTTCTAACCAAATTCTATTGTTTTACAGAAGCGTAATTTAATGCGGAGTTCATTTAACTCTCTGCTGCATAACATTGCCTCTAGGCGGGAAGTTCCAAAGTGGTACCTTAAATATAGACATCTAAAATATCAAAATAGAACTCTACTTTTTGGTTCCACGTTGGGAAGCCTAATTGTGGTTTCATAAAATTGATATCGCCAGCGTCATATTTGCTACCGACTGCTTTCTATTGTTAGTTAATATTATTGGGTGTACAGTCAATGGAATTCACGAAAATACGTTAGCAAATTTTTTTGGCTTCAACATTTTTTTAATGCAAAATCGATTTCAAATTTGTTTCACAAAAATTTAAAATGAATATATGTTTGCATAGTTTTGAGATTGGATATACTTTGAAATATGACAACAAATACAACAAAACTATTAACACAGCTAAAATGAATCAGTTCAAAGTTTTCATAAAAAGAATCCCATTATATCGCAATATATGAGAAATTTAGAAAACAAAAACTGGTGAACGTTACTTTTCGTACACAGAAACAAATATCCGAGTACGCTTATTCACACTTGCGGTGTTAGCAGAGAGTCTACCCTTCAAAATGAGTTACGCACTCTATTTTACTCTATTTTTTGTGTTAATTTCATCCATTTGAGCGCATCGTAGTGAACGAAGAGATACATGTCTAGTAGGGTGGGTCAATTTGTAGGGGGCCGAAAAAACCTTCAAGTGCACATCGCGATTCTGGTTCTATGGGTCCTAACAAGCATTTTTGCCTACAAAAAGGAAGATCCTCCCATTTGGGGTCAAATACTATGACACTATGGGTTATTTTGTGAAAATTGTCTCGGAGGGCATCTGGAAAAAACATTTTCTAAAGGTTTTTTGGCATGCTGAAGCCGAATTTTTGGGTTTCAGGTCAAAAAAATCAGGGGTTAAGGGGTTATGACCCAAAAAATTTCTCTCATCATTCTGAACAACTTTGTAGAACATAATTTTTTGATCCTATGAAAAAATCGACATCAACAAAAAAAATTAGAAAAAAAAGGAGTAAACGACCATTTTTGTCAGTTTTTGTATGGAAATCGTATCAAAACGTTAATATACCGCAAAATAAATGCCAAAAATGGATTCCTCGACCCCAAAAACCCCCGCATACACATTTGGCCAGAGAAAAAATAATGTTTTTTTGAATTTTTAATGCAATGTCTAAGTCGATTTTTGAGTATTTTGGAAAATATCTTCAGAGAAAAATCCGCAGGCTCGAAATTCATTTTAGACATATGGTTCCTTGGGCAAAAATGCTTGTTAGGAATAGAACCAGAATCGCGATGTGCACTTGATGCAAAAAAAATTGACCCACCCTAATGTCTAGTCATATGTACGTTGAACGCATGCGGCTATGACTTCACATGTATTTCTTCTTTCACTATGATGTGTTCACTTGGATGAAATTAACACCAAAAACAGAGTAAAATAGAGTGCGTAACTCATTTTGAAGGGTAGACTCTCTGCTAACACCGCAAGTGCGAGTAAGCGTACTCGGTTATTTGTTTCTGTGTATTAGAACGAAACAAATAATTTCGGTAAGCTTATTTTCTCTAATTATATTCACTCAAATCATACGAGAAGCAATTCGACTTCACATTTTCAGAAAAAAAAAAATCTCGTTCGATGAGCAGTGCTGAGCACTATATGTATGAGACAATATATGGTTAATAATTTTTTTCAGGTAAAATTTTGAATTAAATAGTTGTTGATATATCTATATATATAGCTATAGCTTCATAATTTGAGGGAATTTAAATAGTGCTAATAAACATAGAAAACTATTAAAAAGCGTAAATAGAAAAAAAAACTTTCATTCATAAATTTCTGATTTCAACCTGTGCTCATATATTGCGCGAATATATGAACGATATTTTTACGAATATTTGAAATCGAATTGTTCTTGTTCATTTTTTGATTTGTATAAATTCAAATAATGCCAATAAAAAGAAAAGTCACTTGAATCGCTTTAATACCAAAAACAAAAATTTTCATCTCTCAGTTCTCAATATCAACAGTGCTCATAATGTGGCTACATGTGAATGAAAAAATTTCCGTGAAAATCTGAAATCGATCATTTTTGGGCAGTTTTTTATTTATATGAATTTAAATAGTGCTAATAAAAAGAAAAAAGTTTTTCAAAAACAAACATTTTCATCTCTCAGTTTTCAAATTCAAAATTTCTTATGTATGAGTCATTTTGAATTTGGAAACTGAGAGATGAAAATTTTTGTTTTTGATATTTAAGTAATTTAAATGACTTCCTTGTTTTTACTAGAACTATTTAAATTTATTAATTAAAATTAAAAAGGGAACAAAAAAAGTAGATTTTAAATATTCGTAGAAAAAAAAATTCGTTCCCATAGTCGCGCAATATATGAGACATGTTGAATTCAAAAATCTACAGATGAAAACTTTTATTTTTTTTTGTATTTAAACTATTTTAATAGTTTTGTTGTGTTTATTGGCACTTTTTAAATTCACTAAAATCTAAAATATCCAAAAATAATCATTTCAAATTTTAATCGAAAACTTTTTTATCAATAAATAAATTGCTTCATACATCTATAGTGCCCATCGACATTTTTTGTTTTGAAAATGTGAACTCGAATTGCTTTCCGTAGTTTTATGATTTGAGTGAAAATAAATAGTAAAAATGTTATAACAAAACCATTTGAATCGCTCTAATATCAAAACTAAAAATATCCACCAGTAGATTTTTGAATTCAAAATTTCTCATACATAAGGACTATGGGAGTGATTCATTTTATGAAAACTTTGAATTGATGCATCTTCGCTGCAAACATTGTTTTGTTTTATTAATCGTCATATTTGACGGCCTTAGAAGAAAACAATAACATACAGAACATGCTGCAAATAATACTAATACAAATTTTATGAGAGCAAAAACCAAATATTATATTATTATATTTGGTTTTTGCTCTCATAAAATTTGTATTAGTATTATTTGCAGCATGTTCTGTATGTTATTGTTTTCTTCTAAGGCCGTCATTTTAAAATATATCCAATCATAAAACTATGCAAACCAATATTCATTTTAAATTTTCGTAAAAAAAATTGAAATCGGCTTTGCATTGGAAAAATATTATAGTCAAAAAAAATTTACACAACAATTTCGGACATTTTTATGTTTGGATATATTTTGAAATATGCCAATGAATATAACAAAATCAATTAAAATAGCAAATACACTGTAAACAATCAAAATGGTTATTGAGAAATCCAAATCGATTTCAATTCGCATCGCTTTTTCGATTCGGCGATGGATTTCAAGTTAGACACAAACTTATCGCAATGTACAATGAACATTTTTACCGCAAATTTTGTACAATTTAACCGTCTAACTTGTACAATTTCTCTGCCCATTTTTTAAGATATCACTACCTATTTTGTACAATTTAACTGTCCATTTTGTTGAAATTTTACTGGAAATTATTACGTTTTTACTGTCCATTTTGGCAAAAACAAATGACCATTTTGTTAAAATTACTGCCAGAAACGGAATCAGCCTCCCTAGATTAATTGAAGATAGAAAGAAAATCGGAATCATTTTATATCAGGATTTGTAAAGTATCTGCATACACATAAACAGTTTATAATTCTCACACACCTAATAACAACTTTCAAAGCTATATACACATGTAGTGCAGATTAAAGTTTCATTATTGTAAGTTCTTGATAAATAAACAGAAGTAAAATAAATAAAGTGACAACTCTCTAATAATTTAATCACTATAATGATTCACAATATCAACCGTGAAATAATGATTGTAAACATTTCTGGTGCGATGCTTTCATTCCTCAATAACTCGGACAATTTTCACAAAAAAGGGACTAGCGCCCCCCCGCCCTCCCCTGTGGACATTTTATCGTTGCAAAACCATTAAAACTCAACTCAAATGGAATTGTTTTGACTTTGACAATCGACTGTATATCTGCAATTGTTTTTTTCAACTGAAAAATGGTTCGGTGAAATGAAATTTGATTCGTTTTGTCATTTAAGTCGCAATCTTAAACTACAAAAGTATAAATTGATTCTCATACCAATGTAATACATTCTCATGCAGCAGCAAATCATACACCAAATAACAACAATATATTTGCATATTTATGCATCGCATAAACGACACCACAAAATCAAGTTTTAGTTTTATTTGCTGCTTTCATCGAAATCATTTTGAAAAAAATATATAATAATAATAATACCTCACACGTGGTCCTATATAGTGTCGTATATCATTTGCAGAGTATGCAGTGTGAAAAGTATGGTCCAGTGAGTGGTATGTGTGTGTGTGTCATTCTGAAAAGTCCGCTCAATTCTGCTTTATTGTATTATGAAATTTCTGCAAATCATTTTAGATGAAAACCACCACTGGTTATATCAGCATAATTTAAAATATGGATTCTTTCTTACTCAGCATTATTTTTCTATAGAAGTGTGACCATTGCGTAAGATGAACTCTATGAAATATGTGCGTGTATTTTGAAAATTACAATTCAAAGATTTGTCCAACCAACTCGAACATATTTTACAATCATTTTGAATGCAAGAAGAATAAAATATTCGTAAATTAAATTTCATGATGTCATGATTTAATGTAAATTGTTTTGAAAATCGTTTGTGCTTGATCAAATAAATTGGTCGTTGTTTTCTTTTTTTTTTTCATTCAATCCAATTTTCTGCGAGGAAATTGCTTATATCCTGATCGAAAACACAGTCAACGTATATTTAGTTATTGAAATTTTCAGCTTTCACTTATGCTCAGATCTAATTGTTTTATTTTTCCAACAGATATTTTAGCATGAGAGCTGCGCTGCAGCTATGGCTGCCGATGCTAGTTATGATCCAGATAAATTAAATTAAAAGAACATATGTACTTTATCTAAAAAAATATTTTCAGAGATCTTAGTCAAATCGTGTATGAGCATTCAAGCAATGATCCATTTTTTTGTTTTGAAATCAAGGTTACCATGTAAAAAAATACAATTCCGTCGATTCAAATATTTTCGAATGATTTCAATGTATTTTTTGTCTTTTTTCCGCATTTGTTCACAAATGTATCTGATTTGAAGCGTCGAATATGATTAGCGTCAATTTTCATTTTCAATAAAGAAACGCTGAACATTAAACATGCATGAAACATATCAAAAATGTATCTCAACCAACATGTACCGAGAGCTGGTTGTCAGTTGGAAATTGCATTTGAAGCAATGTATTCCATTTCATTTCATTTGAATTAAAAAGCTTATTCAGTCAAATTTTTTGAAAAAGTTTCGGTTCCATTGTTTTTTTTTATTATTATTATTTTATTTATTCACCGTCTGATCACAGACTGAATTTATCACAAAATTTTGTACAATAACATTCACAATGAATCACTATACCCGATCGAATATCCAGCCACCAGCCTTGTTGACTTCGGAGCAGCAGACATCGATTGTGTTCATTGTTTTAATCTCTAATTTTTCAAAACAATTTTTATACAAAGTTTTATCTTCTTACCAACTTTATTTTTATAATTCTAAATATACAAGCAGAGTATTCTATTGCATACCATTCTAACTTCGAATCAAAATTACGATGAAATGATTTTTGTCCGAACCATTCGACGATAAAAAATTTTAAGAGTTCTTCGTAAAATGCATAAGATGTATAAATGGAGAAGAAAAACTTCTTTATTTTTTTATCGTATATTGACTGTAGGCAAATAAAATCGTTGTTTTCAAATCTTTTCTGTTTCAATGGTGTTCCTCTTTTATGATGATTATCTATTGGTTTTCATTGCAGTTTTGTCAAAATTAGTGACATCATTCACACAAAAAATAAACCTGACAAATCATTTTAGGATTCCTATTAAAATATTAATTTGTAAGGTTCCCTTCTAATATGGCAACATTTTATTAGGAAACCTTTAAATAATAAAACATGTTTTGTTTCAACACAGTGAGGTTGGATTTGACGTTTAAGCGCGCCAATTTATTAGGATTCCTGTTAAAATATTGCGATTTTATAAGGAAACCTAACAAATTCATTTTTTAATAGGAATTCTAAAATAATTTGTGGGGTTTATCTCTTGTGTGTTGAAAGAAGCTGAAAGTTTGTCCAGCGAACAGGAATTACATTTCCTGCAAAATCTATTGGAATCAAAGGAAATAAATGCACTGGTGAATGTACAATTGTACATAGCAAAGCTGCAAAAGTGTGCAAGGATAATAAATGTGCACCACTAATGTCAAGTTCAATACAGGTAATTAAATGGCCAATCAATGTGTGCATGAAATTGAAATGACATGTGAATTTTCCGAATAAATGTGATTTTTCTCTTTCTTTCTTTCTCTAATCCATTTGCGGTTCAAATGAAAAATTGCAGGTAGCATTAGATGTGTTTGAGCATTTATCACAGCGGTGCCATATTTCTCCAATATGCAAGGAAATGTTTTATTTATTACAAAGACCTCATGTTCAGGTAAGATCTTCGACATTTCAATGTGAAGGCAAACATTTTTTTTGATCGAAAAAGTAATCGAAGAAAAGGATAGCTTGCACTTTCAAATGTATATAGCCTTTTTCTTTCATTTTGATAATAAATAAACCATTTCAATTGTTTGGTTTTTCATTGTTGTAGAGTCTATTGGCCACTCATGATGCAATCGCAAAGAAAGATTTTTACCCACATCTGCCTGATATCCCGATCGAAGTGGACGAAGATGAGGAGACTGTGAAAATAGTACAATTGGTGAAAAGCAATGAACCACTGGTACGTTCTTTATTATCTCTTCGGGTTTTTTTTTCTTTCAAGTTTTCCATTTAGTAATGAGCATAAAAAATCATCTTGTTTCCGGTTTAAAAAATGAATTTTTGTTTTTATATTTTCTTCCAATAACATTAACTCTTTTTTTATTAATATTGCCAAAAATAGTTTCTGTTCCCTTTGTGAAATATACAGGGTGTTTCACAGATCCATGCTAATCTCTCTACCACAGATTCATCAGCTCAAGAGGAGTAAAAAAGTGTATGAGCACTTTTCCCAAATCGGCTGTTTTAGTGGGGTTACAGTCCTCGGCCCCTTAGGGTCAAGATTTTCTAATTTCTGGTTGATTTCCACGGACGGTCACCACAGCGGTGTTTTTCAAAAGCAATTTTTCATTATTGTCTTGTTCGAAAGATCTCTCGGCCCTCTTAAGAATATCACAAAAAAAATTCAAAAAAAGTTTCAGTGGAGACGGTCAAAGTGGGTTGACCAAAAGTGAAAAAAATCATCGAAAATCGAGGAAAATCGTAATTTATCTCGAAATAACATGTGATAAACCTATCTTTTTTATGCCAGAAATCGAAAGAGCATTCAATTTTGGTCCGGTATGCACATTTTTAGATTCCAAATTTATGTGGGTGTGTCAAAAATTTTAACGGTCCGAAGTGGAGCGACCGAATTTTTTTTTCATTTTTTTAAATCAAATTTTCTGGGCAAGATTGTTTGGTTTTACCACCGATCTTACATAATTCGGACCCAAGGAATCCAATGGTGCCAATGGTTTTGACCGATCAATTCGAAGTTCACAAGATAATCGGCTTCGAACCTACCCCTTGGAGTGACATTTTGGAGTTTCGATTTTTCTCATTCGATCGGTATGAAAATTAGTATTGGGGGATTTTTAGGTACGGGAAACCCGAATCTGTTATTTATGGAAACATATAATGAAAATCAAATATGTATAGTTTAAAACAAAATGCTTACTATAGAATAGCACTTGGTGCCAAGGCCACTACCTATATCAATTAAAAAAAGAATGGAAAGAAAAAAAATATCACCATTAATATATCAATCGGTCTACAATGAGTGAAACCAAACGACACTTACTCACACACGTAAATTACTCGTAGACGGAGTAAACTACGGGAGACGGCCGAGGAGGATATTCATTTTATTTGTACCGGGGAAGAATACGATTGTGGACCGGCTCATAGTTGGGGCAAACTAGAAAACTGATCGATTAAAATTCATTTCACAATAAAGAAAATGCAATTCCGAAAAAAACACATTTACCGATCCTTTGTATTCATATTCACCGATTTATGGTATTGGTCTATTGCTCGGTGTGTTTGTATGGTTGCCGAAAAGAACACGATAGCGGACCGGTTCGTAGTTGGGGCAAACTAAGAAACTGATCGATACAAATTCGATACGATAGAATTAAAATTCACTTTACAATGAAGAAAATGCCATTCTGAAAAAAAAAAACACACACTTACCGATCCTTTGTATTCATATTCATCGGTTTGTGGTAATTGGTCTATTGCTTGGTGTGTTTGTATGGTTGCCGGAAATAATACGATTGTGGACCGGTTCGTAGTTGGGGCAAACTAAGAAACTGATCAATACAAATTTGATCCGATAGAATTTAGATTCATTTTACAATGAAGAAAACGCAATGCAAAAAAAACTTACCGATCCTTTGTATTCATATTTTCCAGGTTCTGACATCGTTTGTGGTCGGTTTGTGAACGATTCCCAGTGTAAGAACTAAAAATGTGTCCATATTCTTCTTCGACATTTGATGTGTCCCATTTGTTGTTCCTGTCAATGAATGAATGTTGAAAACAAAAAAAAAATCTTTAAAAAACCAAAAAAAGAAACATTCAATTGCATATCGTAGTCAAAGTAGGCTTTGAAAAATCATAAGAAACTGCGTCGCACTATTGGCTAACGGTACCCGTAATCCACTGTGCGCAATGATGAAATTCATGATTTAACTTGATTTTGTATTGTGTTCAATGTGTTTCTTTCTATCTCAATCTCATTCTACCATGCAGTCAATTTAAAAAAAATTCGAAAATTCTGTTTAATATTATATTTTAAAATAATACTTACCGAATACTTTTTCTGGAAAAACCGACAAAAATCCAATTCGACAGAATATTTCACTTTCGATGTAAAATGAAAATTTATGCGCAGCAATTTTAGTTCTTACACTGGTGATGGTTCGACACGATGTGACTTGTTGCCGACTTGTTGGGTTGGAATGTCACAGTCAAATAAATTCTCACACCAACACATTCAAATCGGTTTGTCGTTGCAAGTAGCCGATATCGGACAGCGAATGCGTTAGCTACTGTTGATACAGTTTTCGTTTATCCGTTTGCGTCTCCATGTTGTTGTTGTTGTGACGCATAGCCGTGGTCTATTATAGGAATTCCCATATAAATTTTGTTACCGAAAACACTGACGCGCTCCCTGATTGCATTAAATCGAACTAATCTGTCCCAAATGTGTTGTTTTGCATCTAACAGATGGCGCTCGCATATTTACAAAAACAAAAATTTACTTAAAAAGTTTGAAAAGTACAGAAAAATAATTTAAAAAAGTAACAATAAATAAATTTTAAAACGTTTTTTAATGGAAATTAGTTTTTTTTGTAATTTTGTGAAATTCATTGTTTTCAATATTGAAAAATATTAATTTAGAAAAATAAAATGGTTAACATAACCTTACTTTTGTGTCACAATGATAACGAGTTGATTGCTAAAAAAATCCACAAAGCACCAGAAAATATTTACAAAATAAATGTAAATATATTTTTAAATGTTAATTTAAGTGAACATTAATATAATTTTCATTTTTGTGGGATTGGAATTCAAAATATTCGAAAATAACTAAATCAAAAAGTGTGCAACATAGCCTCACTTTCAATTACGCAATTGTTGCACATTACGCACACACCAACACACCGACATACACATAATAACACCACGTAATAGCGCATTTTTCGTTCATTCAAAATACTACAGAAAAATAGAAATAAAAAAGTTTTCTTCAATATTTCGCGATCGTTTGTAATTGAAATTATTCCTTTTTCATTTGGTACAATTTGGTGTGAAAAATATTCGTAAATATTAAATTAATAATCAATTGAAAAAAATATGTGATTAACATAACCACACTTTATTATTTAAAGTTATGTTACATCAACCACATTAATTTTGATTCAGTGTTCCGCTCACCAAAATCAATACACATTTTAAAAAAAATCAAATTATAAAAAATTAAATTTTCACATTTACAAAAAATAAATTCTATAATACTATACTCGACGCTACTTTACATTTATAACTTTTGAATTCATAACATATGTTGGCAGCTCTGCTCTAATAAAAATACAAACATCCCGTGTGTGAAAAAAGTGGCTGACTGACTGACTGACTATGTCGATTTTGTATGAAAACCAATCATAGTTAACCGGCTGTCCCAAATTAAGCATTTAAAAACGACTATATATGACTATAGTTGACTATAGTTAGCTGCTTAACCAGTTAACAACAATCGACAACAATCGGCTAGAATCGAATAGAATCGATTGTAGTTAACTGGTTGAGCAGCTGACTATAGTCAACTATAGTCATATATAGTCGTTTTTAAATGCTTAATTTGGGACAGCCGGTTAACTATGATTGGTTTTCATACAAAATCGACATATTCAGTCAGTCAGTCAGCCACTTTTTTTACACACGGGATTGGGACAGTTTGGGACAGATAAGTTTGCTTCAATTTTCTAATTTAATATTTTTAAATATTGTGAACACAGAATCTCACAAAATTAGAAAGAAAATTAATTTCCATTTAAAAAAAAATTAAATTTATTTATTTTTACTTTTCTAAAATATTTTTCTGTATATTTTTGACTTTTTAAATGGATTTTTATTATTTTCACAATTGGGACAGATTAGTTCGATTTAATGCAATCAGGGAGCGCGTCAGTGTTTTCGGTAACAGATAGACCACCGCTATGTTGTGACGTTGTTCCGATGCAATGCTACTGTGTGTACAGTACAATATTGATTCCTTGTGTGTTTTTTTGTCAGCAAAGTGTTTGCTAACGCACCTTCGTTCAATTCATTTGCAAATTGTTTTTAATTTATGTGTGTATATATGTGATCAAACCCTTACTACTTTCTTACATACTAAATAGATATTGATATTGTGATTTTTTGAAATGGATGTAATGGGTGTAATGGAAAAATAATCGAAAGAATGGATAGCATTTTTCAATAATGGAATAGTAATTTTTAAAGTAAGTATACCCTGACTGTTGCTCATTTCGAGCTTCCCAGCCATGTTCATAGACCACACGTTTGAGAACGGCCCAAATTTTTCCGATTGGACGTGCCTGTGGTACGTTTGGGGGATTATCATTTTTTGGTACAAATGGCACTTTTTGCTCATTCAGCCAATCCAATGTTTTTTTTTTTGCAATTCTGCTTGCAAAATCTGGCCAAAACATGATTTCGTCGTGAGCGTGATATTTTTCGATAATATGCTTCAATTTTGGCAAGCATTGACTGATATAAATGTCAGCATCGATCGCTTTTGCTTTGTTTGGTCGAATCAAAGGCACTGAGACATCCTTCTCTGAAATGGCCACCCACAATAACACATTTGGCTCAAATTTGGCTTTGTCGGCATATTAAACATTGTCTGGTATTTTTTCAATGTTGTCAGTATAAAAACCGCCGTTTCCACTCAATTCATGATGCGAGAATGTGAAGTAAGATTCATCATTCAAAATTATGGATTTTCTATTCGCAAAGTGTTTGTCACGAAGTGCACGGCAACATTTTGGTATTTTTTCGAGTTGTTTCGCTGTATATTTGGGTGCTCGTTGACGTTTCCGATAAAAAAACGTTATTTTTGCCAAAATACCGTGGACTGTTGAGTTTGAAATACCAAATTTTCATCTTAATTTACGTGTTGATGACCAACCTTGTTTTTGGCACTTGAGAGCAAACTTTTGGTTGTTCTGATGCTTAATTTTGGTGGGCGACCGGGTATCTTTTTATTTTTCTGCTCTTTACATTCACGACAATTCTAAAAAACGGTAAAAATAGTTCTTCGTGAGATTGGCTTGTCTTTGAACACTTCAAGAATTTCTTTTGTACTTAGTCTGCCAAACAAGTTAGCGACAGACTTACGCAAATCCAACTTGTACGACATTGTTAATAGAAACAACTGCGCAATTTGAGTTTGGCAGTTCAGTGGGAGTACAGTTAAGTGTGACAAGTGCATTGGTTGACATTTTTGTGTTAACTTATGCGCTCAAATAAACGCCTGAAGTTAGTGCAAATGTTTTCCGGACATATGTTATAGGCTTTAATTGATTGCTCTAGAATAAGAACAACATATTAAATGGTTGCATATCAAAGTGAAACCAGATGTTTTTTCATATAGATTTGTTGTTGTTATTCATCTTCGCTTTGATATGCAATCATTTAATATGCTGTTTTTTTGTAGAGCAATCAATTAATCAAATTATGTGAAATACACAATATGTTCGAATTTTTCAAATTCTTTATCGTCAATTTGAACTTGCAAATAAATCTTCTAAAATTAAGCAGTTACCAAATCAGGTGATCAGAAGAAAAAAATGGAAGTAATGGAAGTAAATCAGAATGCAATGGAACGTAATGGAAAATGAAATACTACTATTCTCTTACATTCCAATGTTTTTGTATACTACAAAGCATAGAAATGACAGACAATGGTGTAATTAGTTCAAGTAAATAACAGCGGTTGTCATCATTTCCATGTCTTTGTATATCTTGAATATTTCAAATGCATATAATAATCGGACGCAATGAAAATGTAAATAAAAAAGCGAGGTTAGGTGCATTGAATGGCTTTGTCACAATGTGGCGCTGAAAGAAGTAGAAATAATGGAACGTAATGGAAAATAATGGAATGTGCTTGATTTCCACTGCTTGAAGTTCTAAGCTTAAAATATTCTTTTGTGAATTGAAAAAATAAATATATGTTTATTTTGAGCTAATTAGTAAATAAAATAATTTTGCGAAAATGGCTACAAAAGCAGCATCAAATGGAAAAGGTTTCCAGCCTGTAAGTATCCAAAGAAAATGGGTTAACATATACACACTGATTAATTTGTGGTAAAATATTATTTTAGGATACTGACGTTCACGTCACGCTCGAAGATCAAATGAAAATCAATAAATTTGCCAAATACAATGCAAATCTTGAAGATTTAAAAGACGAACTACAAGTAAAACAGAACGATTTGAAGAATTTGGAAGAAGCCGCCGATGAAATAGAATTATTTGACGAAGAAGAGCAAATTCCATTTGTATTTGGCGAAGTGTTTATTTCACACAATTTAACAATGACACAACAGCTAATAAAAGATGCCAAGGAAAAGAAATTGAAAGAGATCGAAGCCATCCAAGACAAATGCAAGCAAATCCAAGATACGATGGGCGATCTGAAAGCTCAGCTTTATCTGCGTTTCGGTACAAACATCTATCATCTGCCTCTATTAGTTTTCACATAATAATCCTATATAATTTCTTTTTTCTTGCAATTTCAGGTACAAACATCTATTTGGAAAATGATGAATAAAAACAAAATTCGTATATTTCGATATGTTTTACACATTTGTCAGCAGCCTCTCGAACCTCAAAAATAAATAAATTAAAAACGAAAAACCATATAATTTTTTTATCCATTTTGAGCATTTATTCGATATATGTATAGTTCTGTTATTTGCCGCACCACATGTTTGTGTAGCGCTAACTGTCAAGCCCAATATACTAATTACCGGTCGGCCATTTCTTTTGCAACGTCAAGAGCAGCGTGTGTTTCTTGATTCTGTTTTCAGAAATAATTATCAAAGCTGTGTGATTTTGTGTCGCATTTTTAATCAACAAAAAAGAAAAAAGTAAATTACAGTGTAATAACGAAATAATGGAACCCGCAAAAATGGCAAAAAAATGTGATCTTACTTCAAAAATATGTCAGTATTTGGATCGGCATTTAACATTTCCACTGCTTGAGTTTTTGTGTGAAAAAGAGGTATGATTTGTTAGGTTAAAAGTGAAAGATGACATGAACAATATTTTGTTAATTAGCATTCATCAATTGATTGATTTTTAGACCGAAGATCAAAAGGCATTATGGCAACAGATCCTCGATATAGTCAACAAGACCAATTTAATCGATTATACCATGGATATTCGCAAGCGTTTGCAGTTGGGCGATGACATGCCACAAGTAAGTGCATATGTGTAATTACATACAATAAAACTAAAATCGATTCTGTCTATCACCTAGGAATTGGCTGATCGTAAAGCAAATGTTTATGCTACTCTTGTCAAATTACAAGAGGAAGTGTCCCAAATTACCGAAATTACGGAAATTTTGAAGGATGCGGACAACATTAAGGATTCAAAAACATTTGTTGAAGAAATCAAAAAGGAATTCGGCGTAAGTTTTTTTTTAATTACTAGTAATGGAATTCTTCTTGGCTTTCTCTTGTGAATACTATTTGTGATTTAATTTATTTTCACAGTATCAACCAGAATGGGCCGATAAAGCATATCGCATGGGCAAATATTTCTACGAATGCGGTAAATACATGCAATCAATATCGTATTTGTATTTCTGTTCGTTGGTTATGCAACCCACTGACAAGAACTACTTGAACGTATTATGGGGTATTTTGGCTGCTGAAATTTTGCAGTTGAATTGGAATTCAGCATTGGAAAGTATGAACCGTTTACGTGACTACATCGATAACAGCAATTTCAGGTATATATTTAAGTTCAGTATTACGTATGGCAACGATAACAAAATTATTTTGATTATAGTAACATCGAAGCATTGCAACAACGTACTTGGCTGATCCACTGGAGCGTGTTTATCTTTGTCAATCATCCAAAAGGTCGTGATTTAATTATTGAAATGTTTTTGTACAAACCATTGTACTTGAATGCCATCCAGACGATGTGCCCACACATTTTACGTTATTTGGCCGCTGCCGTTGTCATCAATCCGGGTCGTCGTAATGCTCTTAAAGATTTGATCAAAGTGATTCAACAAGAATCGTACACTTACCGTGACCCAATCACCGAATTTTTGGAACATTTGCTGGTCAATTTCGATTTTGAAGGTGCACGTTTGAAATTGCATGAGTGCCAAACAGTAATTGATAACGATTTCTTCATCATCATTTGGATGAATGAATTCATTGAAAATGCGCGTCTCATGATTTTTGAAACATTCTGTCGCATCCATCAATGCATCACCATCAGTATGTTGGCCGATAAATTAAACATGGAACCAAGAGAAGCCGAATGCTGGATAGTTAATTTAATTCGTAATGCCCGTTTAGATGCAAAAATTGACTCAAAACTTGGCCACGTTGTGATGGGTTTGTATCAATCTATAATCACTTAAATATTACTATCCACTATTTCCATTGAGTACACTTACAACCTTCATATTACCAAGAACTATTGGAAATTATGAAAGTAGAATTTGATCACACAAACATAATGAGAATAAATCTTAAATTGAGAACAATTTGTAAATAAATTGAAGTCGAGATAGCAATCAGTTTGCTGAAAAATAGTGTCATTTCATTTCCATTGTATGTTCCATTACATGTTGATTAATTTCCATTATTTACATTTATCTTTTCTTATTTCCCCCAGGTTCACAGCCGTTGAGCCCCTATCAGCAATTGGTAGAAAAAATTGATTCATTGTCAGTACGTTCAGAAACATTGACCACTTTAGTAGAAAGGAAACAAGCTAAACTCTCATATGCGGAAGGCTACAGCAAGTATTAAACAAGCTTATGCAAAAAAGTAACAACAAAACAAACAATTACATTCAGACAAACAACATTACACCGCAACACGAATTATTTAAAAAAAAAATATTTGCCACATCGATACGGGACATTTCAATCTGTAATCTATTTTTTACAATATTTTTGATATTGTGCCAATAATAAAATTTATTGCAAATGTTAACCAATATCAAAAAATTTAAAATAAATGTCTTGTATTTAAGAAAAACAGGCATCATTCTCATTTTATTTCTGTATTCAGACGATATAAATATCGTATCGTATAGGATCACCAAATTAAAAATCAAATTTTAATATTTATTCAATTTTTTGCTTGCAAAATAAAATGTCACATCAAAATGGTTCAAAAAAATTCGTCGAAAGCATTTTTTAAGATAAAATGAAAATAATTACGTTCAAATTATCCGCAGAGTTTTTTTTAAAATGGCAATTAGAGTTCTGAAAAATGTGAGTTAAATGAAGAAATTTAATCAACTAATTTTATATATGATTGTTTATTAAATATATGTATTAACTTTAAGTAATTAACCTAATACTTATTATGTTTTATCATAATATTTATTAGGATTCATCTTAATAAATACCGTATTCACTTGATAGCATATTGTTTTTCAGCAAAAAACAATTTTCAACAGATGGCGCTACCTCAGACAAGTGAAGTGACCACGGTATTTATTAAATATTATGATAAAACATAGTAAGTATTAGGAGGTAATCCTAATAACTTTATTATGACTTTATCATGATAAGTTAATAAACTCATAATAACGTTCAGAGTTGGTAAATGCACCTCACAAGTGCGCGCCCTTACAAGTTGTGTGCAACTCTTCTTGGGTGCGCGCACTCGATTCCATATAAATGTTGGGTGCGCGCACTTGGAATTTTTTTCGTGCTTATTTCAATATAAAGAATTGAAAAAAATGTATTTTTTACTTAAATCTTTCCAATTTTTTATTTGGTCATCTTCAATATATCAATACAAAATACTGTCAAATTGTGTTTCTTATATATTTTGACAGCTACAAGTAGCCGCCTGCTGGTTGTCTTTTGAACCACATTGCTTTACATGTAAACAGTTTTTGCATGTGAAAAAATTCAAAATGGAAAAAATTAAGTAAAAAATACATTTTTGACGATTTTTTATATTGAAATAAGCAAGAAAAAAATTCCAAGTGCGCGCACCCAACATTTATATGGAATCAGGTGCGCGCACCCAAGAAGAGTTGCACACAACTTATAAGGGCGCGCACTCGTGAGGTGCATTTACCAACTCTGATAACGTTATTAGGATCCGATTCTAATAACGATATAGAACATAATAATTATCATCGTAATAAAAATTTATTACGATATCGCAAAACGCAAAACTATAGTACGCCAAGCATCCGACAAAGTCCTGTGTAATTAGAAGCAAAAACATTGAACAACGAATAAACTCTATTTTCAATTGATTCATACCTTTTGAGCATAATGCATTTTGCAGCAACAATATCGCGGTGCCAAACAACTGTCTGTGGAGCAGCATCATCATCCTGAGCATTTAACTTTAACCTTTGACATTAAACGCCCATTCCGAAGTATTTCCTAGACATCCTGATAATTGTCATTGCGAATTCGACGCTTAATTTTCTTCCGTCCCTTTTGCAAAGCACGTTTGCTATCCGTTGCCACAATTATATCTGGTAGATTGTTAGATTTTCAATTTAAAACATAATGTGTTGGGTTGTGTTCACATTATGTTGTCAAACGAAATATTATTGGAAGTGAAAGAAACAAGTGAATCCATTCCATTGGAATTCGTAAAGAAGCCATAAGAAAACTATAGAAAACTATAAATTTATTGCCAAAAACGATATTCTATGCAAACGTGTTTTGTAAGTGGAAAGTATACGCCTATTACATAGAATGTAGCGCCAACTATACGTGAATTTTTTTTTATCATTTAAGGTAGTAATCTCATCGCTTCTTTGATTGGAAATCATGCACATAAACTCCGTTCTATTTGACACGAAAATGACCACCAGAATGGGCCAAAACGGTACTAAAAACATTAGAAATTTGATTGTTGGCCAGGGTCTTTTTTATTAAACAAAAACTTTTCAAATAAAGCTAAGATTATTCAAATGAATAATGAATAATTTTTTCTACGCAAATATTCTTATGAAAAATGTGTTTGGATACTGTTCAATACAGTAAAATTCCGATAATTTGGTTATGTCGGTTATGATTTGTGGTGTTATCGGAGTTGTAGTATACATAATGTAAAAAAATAGTTATTGACTCATTATATTTGTATGTCTTCATGGTTCAAGCAATTGTTGGGGCATTTCACAACCAGAATATGTCCCGTTAATATGGCAATCATAAATGATTTGTTTCCAATTTTCATCCTCAACCAGAACAAACGGATTACCAATAATTACGAGAATAGCTCTGAAAATAAGAATAAAATATATTTAATTTAATATGAACTTAGGATTATTATCATATGTGAGTGTGTGCGATTGTACCGTGCGCGGCTGATAGCAACGTTCAACCGATTTTTATTTTTGATAAAACCGAGACCAGATTTCCCATCATATGAAACATTCTTTATTTTGGCTCTAACCGTTGATATGATGATTGCATTTCTTTCTTGTCCCTGGAATTCTTCAACGCTTCCGATTTTCGGAAGTTTCCCTTCAAAATATGAATCACAAAGTTGACGGATATTCTTCGCTTGCAGTGCATATGGTGTAATTACTCCAATGTCATCTTCGATAAGACCACAGTCATACAATTCTTTTATAACTTGTGCCACCTTTTCGAACAAACAAAGAATATGAATTTTTAATGTTTACAAAAGCAGATGTTTTTTTACCAGATTCACTTCTCTCAGATTCCTCCATGAGGTTGAGTCATTTGGTCTTTGGTCTTCGCCCTCTATGCCCAGGAAATAGACACCATATTTTGGTGAATGTTTTAGTTTAAGACTTGGATTATTTCTAGACTGGAACTTAGCAAGAAGTCTTTGTTCGTCGCTGTCTTTGTCCGAAATGTTCGCAATTAATTTCGAGTCATACGATAGATTGCTGTATCTGGCAAGAATACTTGGTAAAGATCGATAATTGTGCAATAGTTGTGTTACCATACGTTCGTCAAAGCCACCATTTCGCTGGAATTGGAACCAAGTGAAATTAACTCAATTATGTTGATTGATATGTAATTCGTTAGTTCATTTATCATTTTGTCAATATTCTTCAATTAAAATAAGTGGAAAATCAATAAAAATATTCCAATTACCCCAACGTCCTTATGATAAGGCAAAAGATCCAAAAGACGAGAAAGTAAGCTTTTATCTAAGCCACATCTTCTGCCAATGGGCGAAAGTACGATTGGTCCCAATTGGTGTGGATCACCAGCCAAAATAATTTGACCATTGTCTCTGTCAATCAACGAAATCGGAATTGTGATTTCTGGTTCGGTACATTGGCCAGCCTCATCAATGATTGCATGAGTAAAATGACCTGATTTAAATTTCATATATAATAATGATCCAAATGTGTTGCATGTGCTGATCAAAATACGATGTAAACTAATAACTTGTGAGTTGCATTGTACACGGATGCCATTCTCAAATGGATTTTGTGGTTCGGCTGTTGATCTTGGCGCAGCAATATCAACTGTCATACAGTGTGGCCGAAGTTCGTCGGGTATTTGTTCGCGTTCGATAGCATTTTGACTAACAATTCGAGCAAATTCACCCGCTTTCAATGCACCACAATCCGCCAATAGTTTTGTTATCAAATTGGCAGCACTGTTTGATGGAGCAGCAACAATTAAACGTGTGTTCCCTTTTTTGTAGAGCTGCAATATAATTTCAGCTAAGGTTGATGTTTTTCCGGTCCCCTGATAAATTACAAAAATAAACGTCACTTTTTATTTGTTTAAAAAAAAAAATGCAGACGTTGTATTTAGATATAATCAGCCAACTGAATAAGCTCAGGCAACTGATGTCAGACGTTAAAGTTGTCTGAGCTGATTCAGCTGGTTAAGATTATCTAAAGATAAAATACATTTTTTTTAAATCAATACCCACCGGCGGTCCAAATACCAAATATGGACACATTTTAACCTCTCCCCTTAGCACATTCACAACGGCTTGTTTTTGGAATTCGTTGAGTTTTGGATTAAACCATAGCACCTTTTGTTTTGGATAATCCAAGATCATGTCACCATCAATTAACTTAATTTGCATCTGTAATCGATCGCCAGTTTTTACTGAACTTGGAAATAGGAAGCCTGAGTTAGTGTTTAGTAACTTCTTCGAAACTCTTTCGATGGCATTGTGCCACTTCATAAATTTTGTTCGTGAAAATTTAAAAGTAAGCTTGTAATCTTCACCACGATAATTGGTATGGAATTCGTCAATGAACTTTAGTAGTAAACGATTTTTCGTCATTTTATGAATGTAACCTTGATGTTGTTGATTATTTGTGGTTTTTAGTAAACTTTCGGCATAAATCATGTCACCGATAACAATTGATGGTCGACATTCAAAAACGTTTTTTTTCATTTCGTATGCCAAATATTCTTTATCTCGTACGAAATGACCGCGATCTTGATCGTATGTTCGAAATTCAATTCGCATGAATATCTCTTCAAAATATAACAATGTATGAAAGTAAGATGCATAATTTTTCTTTGACAACGAACTGAATACGTCACCATACATCCTTTCAACCATATCATATAATTCAGCAGATGTGTTGACCGCCATTGTTTCGAGGAACAACTTTTCTGGCACTTCGAAGCGCTCCAATCTTCACAGAAATAAAGATAGAAATGATATATTTTTTATGACTATCATCATGAATTAAACTGATTTTTGGTTTAATTTGAAAATAAAAACACAGAGAGAAAAAATGTGGTATTTTTAATTCAATTTGGGTAGATTTAATATAAAATCAACCAACAACGAATTAAATTTATCATTTTTGACATCTCTGAGGCATATTTTTCAAAAGAGATTATCAGTTGAATTAGTTTTACCAATTGCTTCATTATATTCACCAAATTCATGGGCTAGCGTCATTTGTGGTTTCGAAAAGTTGGTAAAACTTATTCAACAAATATTCACTTTTGAAAAATATGCCTTAGAGTTGTCAAAAATGGTAAATTTAATTCGTTGTTGGTTGATTTTATATTAAATCTACCAAAATTGAATTGAAAATACCAGATTTTTTCTTTCTGTGAAAAAAAACATTTTATTTTACCTTTTATCGATGAAATGGGGCGATGAGACCGGAGCATGACCTTTGATTGTTTCTCGTTTATCTGAATAGATTTTTTTGGTGTACGCTTTAGAATGACAAACTCGAACACCTTCAACTTCCTCAACATCCTTCACATCCAATGTTATACATCGACGCACTACATATTTGTTGTCGATTTCAAAATCAATTTTAACTTTAAATACACCGGCAAGAATACCAATTAAATTGATTTTATAGACATAACGATCACCTGGCCGAATATTGTGTGGTCTATAGAGTTCGTCGCATTCAAGTTGTGATGCAAGTATTTGATTTTGAAACTTGGCTTGTGAAATTTTCCGTGTACGATCTGATTCATTTGTGGCAATCAATTCGATGTATTTTTTCGCTTTGGATCCATCCAATACCACGTTCAATGATTCACTACGGGTGAAAACTATACCAGCATTTTCACTATCAATTTCATCATCTGACTCAACAATTTCAGTACCATTGTTTTTGAGTGATGGTGCTGTTACATTTTTGTTTTGATTGGATGAGATCTTTGTAATTTTTATACAACGAAAGAAGAATACTCCGTAGTCAATCTTTTGAAGGCTTGAAATAACTTCAGCCACAACGGTATCACCTTCGTTTGGCACGGAATTTTGTTTTTGATTGTCCGAATGTTGCAAAATATCGACGTAAAATACATACTTGTTATCGATTAATCCGTACTTCAATTTCTTTTTGAACACAGTTATTTCACCTGTAACGGTTTTTCGTTCATTTGCTTTCATTCCATAATATCCAAATGCAGTACATTCTGATGGATTTTCACGACTTATTCCAAACAACGCTTCAACTTCGACTTGATCACCAATCATTGGATTGAATGCACATTCCGATTCGCTGATAAGAATTTTAATCGGCTGTGTCGTTTCAGGGCGTGTATCAATCACAATTTCACCATTAAATTTATGATTAATTTCGCCTCTCAGTATTCTTAAGCATGTGTTTAATGGAATCGGACTACTTTTATTGCTACTATCGAAGTCGTCTTCTTCACATGGTGTCCAGTATTCTTCTTCAATTGAATCAATTTTGTAAATAACAATTGGCTGATCGTCGGATATTTTACGTGCCGTACATATCACCCAATCACCAATCTTCAATTTCTTATTTGCCGTTGATCCCCTACTAAGCATATATTTTCCATCTATACGACCATTACCGTCACTATAAAGATGTGTCACTTTACCTTGAAGTCCAACAATCGTCAAACGTAAATTATGCTTAATATTTTAGTATCACTTGAAAAAAAAGCGTCAAAATTTACCTTTGTAACGAAAAAATACTGCGTCTGGCATATATGATTCTTCAACATGATGATTTTGTTCGCCAACTTCTTCTTCATTACCCAATGCGTTGATTTTTTCTAAAATCGCTTGATATTCGCGAACATATTGCTCTCTTGATGGCTGTGGAGCTAAACATTTATTGTACAAATATTTGGCAATGTACATTTGTACTTGTTGATGGGTTGTCGTCTCGATTAAGACGATCGATTTAAAATTAACTTAATTCGTTTTATAGTTCATGAATGCTGGTTTGAATTCTGATTTCCGAGGAATATCAACACAGTTAAAATTTTGTGACAATTATAACACATTTGTTTTGATGAAACATTTGACAGAAATGTCAATATGTCTTGCAGAGTTATGTCAAATATCAATGTTGAATATGTTTCTTAAATTTTTAAAGAACAGTTGAATTTCGAATAAAAAAATGAAAACACAAATTGGGATTTATGCAAAAATATCAGATAATATATTGAACTAACTGGTCAGTTGAGCTGACAGTACGTTAGCCAGCTAAATGGGCTAAAACAATAGACGTTATTGTTTTAATGATGAATCACTTGACTTGTTTTAATAGAAGTGATTGTTCATTATAACAATAACTTCTATTGTTTTAGTCCATTTAACTGGCTAACGTGCTGTCAGCTCAACTGACCAGTTAGTTCAATGTATTGTCTGAAAAATATCCATTTTTTATTGAAATTACCTAATTATCTTAAAAGGTATCTGCTATATCGATGTTAATTTTAATAAAATGATAAATTCTAATGCTACACAATGAGCCGATCCCTCTCCTATGTAGAAAATTCATACAGTATTGAATGGATTTTTCTTCTTGAAAAGAATAACATATGAAAATTCTTCATCAAAAAATTAGCATAACAATTGGCCGATACATTTTTCGATAGATTCATATTTCCATTCAGTTTCTTTGATGTAGTTTATGGATTTTCGTAGCTCAATCATTCGGGTTGCTTGGAGCTCCTCATTTACTCGTTTTTCACATTTATCCATCAAAACTTCAAAATTAATAGCTTGATTCTTCTTCATGAATCAAGAGCAAACAGAAAAAGAAGTTCCCTTATTAATCAGCACTTAAAAAATTGAAATTGAGTACTACCTTTTTGCCGCCGCGAGCAATTAAATCCTTTTCCATGTCAGCTGCTATAGATGGATCCATAATGTACGTCTTTGTCAAATATCTCGTATCATGAACAAAATCAAACAATTGACGAAAATGTTGTCGACAAATAATAAAACTTTGTTTTGACAGTTGTTTAATGTGATGCGATGCGTATCACACAATTTAACGTCAATTAATACGATTCAGATGGCAGCGCCAATCGAAATTGACGACCAATTTCACGTCCAAATTGAAAAGCATGTTGTACATGCAAAAGTTTTAGGTTAGAACCTCGCGAAGCAGCGAGAGAAAGAAAACACACAAAAGCCGCTGAACACAGACACTCATACTACTATAAGTATACAATAGCGGCACACAATACCCAATCATCAGTTGAGCCTGAGTGTATGTATATGCAATATAAAATAATTTCGCACAATAAACTTCATCTAGTATCCGTTGCCCGATGTGTCGGATAGGACAGGCAAACATTTGCGAACCAAATTGTGTGTTTTATTGACGTGATTTTTTTGGGCTACGTCGTGTGGAAGAACAGTGCAAGTTTTTAGAACGGAAAAAATTGGCAATTCACATCAAACTAATTGGATTTTGAGGGGGTCATGGAGCAAATCATCGCCAATTTGTTGGTCGCCGACAATGCAGCTATTCAAAAGGTAAACGAGACAATCTTTTGCTTAATCTCTTTTAGTTTTCGATGAGTGTGCTTTTTCGTTTTATATATGCGGCTATGTGGTTGCATCCTACTTAAATTCACGCTGATGCCGATGCTGTTGTAGCTATATAGCACGTGGCTACCAATTGTCAATTTATACATTATGACTTCTTATACTAAATTTTTTTTAAATCTCGAATTCAATATGATTGCTTAAATGCTTACATTATCGCATGTTTTGAACTTACATCGTTAATTAAGCGACATACAAATTATAACTGCATAATTGGAGTGGCTGGGCTTGTATTCAATGCAAATGCGTTGACACAAATTTAACGGGATCGATCAATGTCTTTGCATAAAATCATAGCATCTGCTTTTCGTAAAACATGACTCGTTTTCATCAAATCCAAAAAATCATCAGAAGTATTTCATTTTTCGTATGTCATGAAATACAAACGATTGTGTTCCGAATTAAAAATGATGTGTTATTATTTCCGGTTTAAGAATTTTTATTCGTCATATATAAGTTTAAAAGTTTACATGTTCAGTAGCACAACATCGCTCACATGTGCCAACTCAAAAGTATCATTCCAAATCAACATGTTACTTGAAATTTACAAACATGTATGAGTTTTGTATGATTTGACAACGCTTGTCAACGCTGCTAGAGAACACGAGCACACAGATACTAATTTTATACATATAATAATATCGAATATAGAACTTTGAAATCGCCGCACACAATAGGCATGTATTTTGGTGGGTCAAGCGACACAATCGTGTGTAATTTTTAATTCGTTCAAGAATTTCAGTTCATTTGAATATATGCGTACGCGTCGTATATTTTATAATTAATAATTCGATCATCAATCTAAAAAATCGTTTGCTTCCTTCACATTCCATATATTTATTTATACATTTTCTAGAATTCATATAGAATAAAAACGCGATCGAGTGATATTTTTTCGCACATTTGTGAAGATCATACATTTTTTTCTTCGTGCTAAACACGCATAGTTCATGTTTCAAAGCTGTTGTCATCATGGGTGATTGAGTGTTAAACGATGCCTCTGCCTTTCTTACTCTATCTCATCGAAATGATGATTAACCCATTGAATGCTTGCGGACCGATTTCATACAAGATTATTAACAGGCATACAATGATTTTTGGATAGGATAGATGCGTAAGATCTCCGCAAGATCCGGATCGAAGCGTGCATACTCTGCCGAATGATGCATACATATATAATACGCACGCAAATTCGTTCTTCTTATTTCGCCTACTTTGATTCGGATGCCATAGCATTACGGAATAACGAATGTATCATGCGGCTACGTACACACGCTCGGATCCAAATCTTCCGGAGATCTTACGAATCTATCCTATCCAAAAATCATTGTATGTTAACAGGGCAAGGCAAAAAGACAGATGCAGTTTTTGGTTGTATGAAATTAAAAAATGTTAAAGTATAGACATATATGTGTATCGTTGTCTGTGTTAGAACACTTTTAGATATTCAGTTGAAATGAAATCACATTAAATCGATTCCCAGTTCCATATAAAAAATGAATTAAAAAATAATCACATTTTTTTCTTATCTCTTATGAATATTATATTGAAAATGATAGACATTCCTTTTTAAATATTTTTTTCTGATTTTGAATTTAAAAAGAAATGCGCGCAAGCTCGAGCTCGTCCGCTTTAATAAAATTTGAAACCATACATATTTGTGGCTGTTATAGCCGCCTGTGCTGACACAACGCCTGTGAATTTCGTTCCACACCGCGCAGTGTCAAGAGCTCATTCAATTATAAATGAGTTGGCCATACATCGGCGCATTTTGCTACCTAAATGAACTTCATACTGCTTTTGAGTTAGACAAGGCAAAATAAGTATTTTGAAATTTTATTAAAACAAGAAAATATTTTGAAATTGTTATAATGAGAAGATCGAAATAGCTTTCAAAGAGATTTCAAATAAAAACTGATGAATTTTAGCATATTTCTTGCACTGAAACTTCCTTTTTTGAAGCTATCTGGTTTCTTCGTAAAGCAACACGGGGCTAAACTACACTTTACGACATCCTCTTTAAATCGATTTTTTTTATAAATGGTATTTTGTCAAGTTATGAAAATGATGGGGAACGATATATTGGGAGTGGGGAAATAATTTAGTGAAAAGGGGGGTTGCCCCCCTTGGGTATTAGTGGGGGGAGTACCCAACTTGTCCAAAACTTCATTGGATCAAAAAGTGATGTATGGCAAAGTTATTCAGAATGACGAGAGAAATTTTTTAGGGTTGCTGACCTACACACATTTCTATACACACATTTTCATCAATAAATGCAAAACGCGCCAGCGCTAGCGCGCTGGCATGTTCAAAATCAGCACCCCATTGATTTTTCAACTGTACCCATGCATGATATTAGCACCTAAGAGAGGTTTAAACTGAATTTTTAAGTTTCTGATCGAAAAAATTAAAAAGTGAGGGGTAAAGACCCCAGGCCTGAGGGGAGGGAGAGGGCTACCGCATCGCACCGAGCACTCTTAGTGAGTTGCATAAAACTCATTGTATTGCGAGTGTGACATGTCTCTGAGTCGCCATTGAGCGAGTACATAATACTCATTAGAGAAATGAGTGAGCAGCGACTCACTCGTGAAATGCTCGCTTGAAAAGATTGCATTATGAACTATTTTCTAATTATTTTGTCAATTATTTTCAGTGTTAATTTTTCAAATGCATTTTTGTAAACCAATCGTAATAAATTATTTTGAATTTGTTTTCCTTTCTGACAATACACAACAAAAATCACACAAAAACATTTAAAATAAAATGATAAATCAAGAATTATCGCTGATTCAGGTTTTTTCGTATGAGCCGAAATAAATTGGAACAAAATAACCATTCTATGTTGTTGCTTTTTTTCTTTGTAGTTGTTTTGATATCGACTTTATTTACATTTTTTAAATGTTTTTTCTTCAGTTTTTATTTTTTAACAAACAATGTGATGCGAGCGAGAAATTACTCACTCACCGTATGAATTGAGTGAGAAGTGAGCTGCTCTTTCATTCGTTCAGCGAGTATACCAGCGCACCGAACATGCAAAGAGCTCACTGTATTGAGTTACAAAACGAACTGAGCGTGTGTTTCATAGCACTGATATTCTTTAAAAGACCCAAAGCAAGTGATGTCGCTGTCAATTTCGAAAATTCCAAAAGACAACAACAACATCACAAGTAAATGAAATACACATTTTTGCAAATAAATGTTGCCTCTTTTCCTTAAAACATCCTTATTTTAATATTTAAATTCTACCTAAGCTAAGTCGAATAAAGTAGAAAAAATATAACGTATCATTTCCTCTAACCATTGCTTGGTATGTACTTATGTACAGAAACAAAACTATATTGAAAACGCAGGTAGAATTTTCTTCATTGTCTCTTTTAATCATTGTTATTTTATAATTAAAGGCATATTTACATGACGAAAATTTCAAGAAGAAGATTTTCTTAGAATGATTCCCAAAATATTTTTTTAAATGAACCAACAAATGCATTCTTCAGACAACAATATTGCTATTCTCATTTTATGGTTTCTTTTCCCATTTCTTCGGAGTTGATATGTAAATGTTACTTTCCTAACGAAAAAAATAATACTAGCAAATAAATTAGTTTTGCAGTTTATTTTGTTATACTATTTTGCAGGCAAACAATTACAAATTTTCTACCTTTTCCAAAATCAAACTCATTCATATCGTGCACATTCATCGTTTTAGTTGATAGTTTAAGCAAGTCATTTAAATTGAAAGAAAATCGTCTGTAAAATGTGGTCGAATGAAGATAGTAACTTATTGATTGAAACGATTGAATCTCAAGTTCTAACAACAATCCCAATCACTTCAACGAATAACAATCACGAATTTACCGGCAACATACATGATATTATTCATGATTGGGACCAAATCGCCAACAAGGTCAATCGATCCGGTGAGTCAGAATTAAACCGTGTTAGTAACTTTTTCAAACCGTGTTAATAACTTTTGAACAATTTTTTTGTCATAGTGATCGATTGTCAAAGACAATGGAATTCATTGATTCGCACATTTCTATTCGCAACAAATCGAGTGAATACGGATCAAAACGATATGCGTCGCAGTCCCGTATATGCAATTCATTGGCGAAATATTGAGAAAATGATGTTTTTAATTCCATACATTGGCAAATACAAACGGTAATAATAATCGAGTTCTATGAATTCTATGAGTTTTGCTGATTATTTTCCATTGGTTTTGAATTTTAGATATGAAAGTTCGACTGAACAGCAAAAAACTGATATGATTGTGAAAGAAACTTGCAATAAAATGTCGAAACAATGCGAATACGATAAAATAACCCCACAAATGTTAAGAGATATCGTAAAAGAGATGTTGAAAACTAAATCGACACCAGAATGTGCCAAAGAACTTATAAAAAACCTTAAGAAATTTTGTCAGAATGAAAGTTACTTAGATAAATTGACATACATGATCGAATTGAATACGAAAGAATGGGACCAAAGGTCAAAGCAGAAGTTTTTACAATGGTACCATAAACATCTTCGAAAAATAGAGGCCAAACCATAATGATCAAAATCGATTTTGTCCACACTTACCATGAGAATATCATCATCTTATAGTCAATTTATGAAGAAAATTAACCTATGTTATTGAATTTTGATATCATAAATATATATATTCAACTCTGAATAAACTCTATATCTGAAAGAAAAAAAATATGTGTTTTCGACTTTAACATTTTACGTTTTTTTTAAATAGCCAATGTCTAAATAATTGCATTGCTTTTAAATAAATGCGTCATTTTTTTCATTTTACAGGCAACAGCTGAATTGCAAGAAGCGTTCAAACGACCACAAGCCATTTCATCTCTTTGTGATGTCATTGTGAGCTCACCAGAGGTGCAACATCGACAATATGCGGCTGTTTTACTAACAAAACGATTGAGTAAATTGCGTAATTGGCAACAAGTACCAACTGATCATCAAGAGATGTGAGTAATTTTCTTCAGACTCGATATGCTAGAAAAATATAATAAACGTATTTTTATAACGTACTTATTTATTTCAGCATGAAACAGGGTATGCTAAACGCCTTGGTGAATGAGAAGGAGAAGCCTGTCCGTACGGCAATTGCTCAATTTGTTGGAACGCTCATAAAACATGATTCTCATGCACCAACTGGCACATATACATTGCAAGTGCTAAAATTTGTTTTCGATCATTGTGCATCCGAGAATGTACTTCAACGCGAGGTGGGTACATCGATTTTTGCCACTCTCACAGCTACAGCTCCAGATCAATTTATTCCGCACATTGACGCCATTTGTGAAATGTTTACTTCGGCTTTGTTGGCGGCTGAACAAAGTGATAATATGGCAACACCTGTTATATCGAATGTTCTATTAGGGAATGTTCTATTGGCGATGTGTAACCTGGTTCCATTTATTTTGGGTCATAATAACGCAGAAGCCACATATCAAAAAGCAATACCACACATCGTTCACGCATTGTCAACATTCGCTGTACACGATGTCGATCAGTTCATGAAATCGTTTGACGTGCTAGAAAATCTCTGCGATTACACGCCAACACTGTTGAATGGAAGTTTGAAAACGTTAATTGATTTTTGCTTGGAAGTGTCCAATAATGAAAAATTGGACGATTCAATTCGTGTGCGCGCAGTGTCATATATTGGATGGTTGGTCCGTTTAAAGAAAAAATCGATCATCAAACAAAAGCTCGTAGAGCCAATCATTCATGTAGTTTTCAAATTGATTGCAACCGCACCGGAAGATGGCGATGATGAGGATGACGAGGAATACTTTGCAGAAGAATCATCACCAAAAACATCAGCCACACAAACAATGAACGAATTAGCATTGCATATACCACCCGAAAAGTTGATACCACCATTGTTGGCACTTTTGGAGCCAGCATTGAGTGCGAACGATCCACTCTATAAGAAAGCCGCATATTTGTCGATAGCAGTTATTGCCGAAGGATGTAGTGAAGCTATTTGCAACAAATACCTTCGTCCATTGTTAGATTGCGTGAAAAATGGTATTTCCGATCCGAATCCAGTCGTTCGTAATGCAGCTTTCTTCTCGTTGGGTCAATTTGCTGAATTCTTACAACCGGAAATCAGTAAATATGCTAACGAAATATTGCCAATTTTGTTTGGATTCCTACAGAGCCTCTGCAATCAAATTCGGGTGAGCATTTTTACACAATATTTCACCGTTAATTAATATAATACATAATGAATGAAAACAAAAGGTGTTCACACAATTTTATTACAAAAATTTAATCGATTTGTTCGCAGAATGGTCAACCAGAGCCGAAGTCAATTGATCGTATGTTCTACGCATTGGAAGTATTCTGTGAAAATTTGGAGGATGAAATAATACCACATTTACCAGCACTGTTGGAGCGCCTCTTTGAAACACTCAATCCAACAAATTCGGTAAAACTACGAGCTTTTTAGTAGGAGATTCCTATATGTTGTGGTCATTGCTTTACTCTTAAACTACATATAAACATATAATTTCATTGTTTCCCTCTGTAATTTATCCTCCTGTTGAGATGTCTCCTATACATTCTTCTATATTTTTCAAAACTTCTAGGTAAAATTACGTGAATTGGCCTTAGGAGCAGTTGGTGCTGTAGCGAATGCAGCCAAAACTAACATGCTGCCATATTTTCCCCAACTCATAGAAGGTTTAAAGTTATACTTAGTGAAAACAGAAAACGAAGATATTTTGGAACTGCGACCACATGCTATTGATACTTTAGCCACATTGGCACGCACAATAGGCAGAGAAAATTTCTTAGGATTCAATAGCGCTGTGAGTTAATCACTTTTTTTTATATTTTAAATGAACACAGAAACAAGTATTTTTGGTGCTAGTTTCATCGAACGTATGTGACGATACACTTAGCAATCATATTCGTTAGCGTATACACAGTGTCATATGCACGCAACGAAACATAACTCTTTGAACGCATGCGGCAACGTACATATGAATGGGTGAGAAAAATCATGACTCAAATACTATGCACATAGAAGATAGAAACTTAAATATTGCTCTGCGTACAACGAATCGAAAAATTTGAACACGCAAGAGTGAAACAATTCAAAAATCCACATGTACTTTTTTTACGTTTCGGTTTTGCATGTATTTACATTAAGTTACACTGTTGTGTGACTCTTTTATATGTTTCGGTTGTGAAAAAGTATTATCCAAGTTTCATTTTTTAAATATTTCTTAAATCATGCGTAAATTGGACTGAATCAAATTTGTCTCATTTTTTTCTCTTTCAGTTCACCTTTGTATTCGCACTTGATAGAGTCAAGTCTTGCTCTACTCAGTAATACAATTGAACCGTTGAGAAACATAAACTGGAATGTAAATTAAATGTCAACATATAAGGTTATTCAATAGGCATCACATAGCAAGTTTATATGAAACTCTCGGAGACTGGGTATAGAGCACTCAAACAGTGAAAAAAGTCCAGATCGTGATTTTGATGATATGGTATGCGATTTTTTTCATTCTGATTTCACCACGTGATACAGAAAATTGAGCAGTATTTGAGAATCGAAGAAAAAAAAAAATTATTTATTTTTTTCATTTTTAGCGATTTTTCACCATCTACATGGGAGGCTTGTATGAAAAACACGGAAGACCGCTGAAATGGCACTGCCGTAGTACCGTATATATTTGGCGTTTGCCATTTCAGCGGTCTTCCGTGTTTTTCATACAAGCCTCCCATGTA